TCTCCACAATAAAAGAAAACAGTGTAACGAGTCGGGCGAGACAATAAATGTTTATAAAACGGAAAAATTTTTTTTTAAGAAAATTGACTACCTTACATTATCAAGTATGTCTACAGATTTAACAGTTTATATGTCACAAAACACACTTTGGCCCACTAGATAGAACCTGTAAGAATATTACAAAAGTATTAAAAAACACTTTGAACGCTTGCAGGAAGAGAAAGTATTGAACCTGTAAATTGTAGACACAAAGGTTATTTTTCCTGTCAAAACACTGCACGAAGCACTACGTAGTTCTTAAACTTTGCACCAGAAGAGAAAGACATATGTCTATCCTTGTCTCTCTCATGTTATCTATCCTTGTTTTTGTCTGATTCGATCCCGAGAGATGGCGCCACCTACCCGATAGCGTAGCGATTGAGTAGGCGATTGAGCGGACTTTTGCCAGCGGTTCAGCATCCTCTTAAGCTGTGTTCCGTTTCACGCATATGCGTGCATCTATCTATACTATACGTGACGTGTACTATAGGTAAAATGGTTGACTAGGGCTGCGGTCCGTTTCATGCTTAATCGTGCATTTATCTGTGGTATATGTCACGTATACTATAGATAAATGTGCGCTTAAGCATGAAACGGACCGCAGCCTAGGTTTCACCTTTTTTCGACAATGCTCCCTCCCTTACCACCGTGGATGTATATTGTAAACTGTAACGTGTTGTTTGGATATGTTGTATATAACATACTGTGATTGGCGTTTGATATACCTTATATAAAGTTCCTTATTGTTTAGAAAAACTGGTTTAGAAAACTTTTGTTGGTGTAAGCTGCACGTTATGTGTGTAACCATGTGTAATTTTCTTAGATTTGGTATGTAGGTTATAAATGGTGTAACAATCGTTATGTATATGATGTATGATTGGACGGATGTATTAGAGCCCTCAAGTCACAAAAAATCGAGTCAACAACTGTATTGACCTTTGGTGACTTGTTTTATTCTATTTTCAAATAAGTAAGTATTTCATAGACAATAAAATATAATTTCAGTAGAATTATAATTTTAATATAACAAAATGATATATAAACAAATGTTAGGTTTTACTATTTTTTTATTAAAAATGTCTGAGGTCAAAATTATCAGTGAGTATAAATAATTATCAATGATTATGAATAAAATCATAATTTATCAATAATGATAAGATATGTTATTTATTATATATTATGTAAATATAACAATAGTATTGTTATATTTACACAAGAAGGAAAGTATGTGTGTGTGAAAGAGAGAGAAAGAAGTTTTTAATACATATATACAGAATAGCTTCTTTTTCTCTGAATATGAGATTTTTGTTTGCAGGTTTATTATGGAGGATCTTAATTCAAAGTAATTAAGAAATTATTTGAAGAAGGGACATGGCTGAACAAACCAGTGATCTTTATGAGCAACAGTTGCTTGCTGTATTTGAAAGCTGTTTATCAGAAGGAAAAAATGAACTTGATGAAAGTGATTTGTTGTCCATTTGTTCAAAATTACATCTGGATGAATCAATTGAAGAATTAAAGTCATGCATTTCTAAATATCATCCAGATAAACAAACCATATCTTTCCAGGAATTTCGAGATGGTTTATTAGTTTTGTTGAAAAAATTCCAAGGATTAATAACTGAAAAACAACACATTGTGTCACCATGTTATAATTTAAACGCCTGCAATTTTGATACTGAAGAAAGCAAAGTCTTGCCATTGGTCAATACTTCCTTAAAGATTTATTTTCAGGAAACTGATGTTCCAATGGACGAGAATAGATTAATGCATTTATGGGAAAAAATTAATGTTTGCTTAAAGGAAAACGCAGATCCTATAACAATACAATTTATATCAGGCTGTTTAGGAATTCCACAGCTACCAAAACAAATAATGAAATCTCTATTTGCAAGACTTGATCAGAATTGTGACGGATTAATAAGTTTTGATGAATTTGTAGTTATATTTCAAAATAGAAGAACTATAGAAGCCTTGCAAGAGAATAGCGCATCTTATAGCAGAAATGTAAATATATTAGATTTTAATGAATATAAATCTGAAAGTAATTCGATACAGGCTAACAGAGCTTTAGCTAAGGGAAATGTTGCTGGTGTTTCAAATATATCTGTACTGTCATCCAATGACGGAGATCTTAATACTTTGGACAGCATTATGGATATAGTAAATGTCATATCTGACGAACTAAAAACTTGGAATGATTCAGTAGATAGAAACACTGTTCAATCTCATATTAGCTTATTGCGAGAAACTATTATTGCTCATCAAGATGTGCAGCGTAATTTGACTTCTGTAATAGAGAATATGAAAGCTGAGAAAGAGAAGATGCGTATCGACATCGTAGAAGCTAACGAGCGGGCCAATTTGTTAGCGCAGGAAATTGACGAATATCAAGTTCAATTAGAAAAAACTAAGGAAACTCTGCACAGACAGAGCGAACAACGTTATGCCGAAATTACAAAAGAATTGTCAGATCAACTAAATATTGAACGAGAGATGGATGCAGCAGCTTTAAAATCAAAAGACGATCAATTGCAGACCTTGCATAAAGAAAATCACGAGATGAAAAACAAAATTGTAAATATACTGCAAGAGAATCAAATGCTCGAAGCGGAAAATAAGACTCTGCTTAATCAAATTAAAAAATTGCGCCAATCTAATAACGATTTGTTAAATCGGATTAAAATGTTGGACGCGGAACAAGATGACATACGAACTATTGAGGCAAAACAACAGGAACAAGTTGATTTCTTCGTCGATCGTATCAAACAGTTGCAGTCGGAAGTGACTCTCTTACGAGATCAAAACGACGAACTGAATTCCGAATTGGAAACTTTTAAATATCATACCAAAGATAAACAATATGAAGCATCTTCGTGTTTAGCTTATGATTTGCAATTAAATGAAAATTTAGATAAAAATCTTATCACGACACAAGAGTTTGAAGTGAATGAAGAACAGATCGATACATCAAATTCTAACGCAACGGAATATAAAAGATTTAGAGATATGGTTATGAAAGATCTGGAAAATATATTATTGACAGGTTCAAAATGCATATCAGAAAAGTGCGCTTTGCGGGATAATATAGCAAAATTAATTGCCAATTTGCAATCGAACATTACGCACCTACGTTGGTCCACGCGTACTTTGGAAAAAAGTATAGCGTCCGAACTCGAGATGGAATGTGAAGAACGAGCTAACGAATCCTTGCGAGATTTCGTCGTTTCAAAAGTATCAAAATTACCTTCCATTAAATGTCCAGCAAGATCGAACAGCAAGGAAGATTTATTAAATGATATTATTGATCACGACGTGAAAACTGGTACGCAAAGTAAAACAAGTCTTAGAGATTATCCGCCGCGAAAAGAGGAACATTCTGCAGAACAGTGCAGAGCTAATAAGGAAAAAAATGATTCTTCAAACGTTGTTGAAGTCGGGAACGTCCTTAAGACGACAAACGTAGGATCATTGGAGATTGAGAAGAAACAATTGGTCGAACGTTGTCAAGAACTCGAACGAAGCTTGGACTTACTTAGAGCAGAATATGAAGAATGCGAGGATTATTGGGCTGCCAAGTTGGAAGAGGAAAGACAACTCTTTGAAAAGGAACAAAAGCTAAGTGATGACAAACTTGTTGAGCTCATTGATAAAATAGCAGAGTACGAAGAGTTAATTAGCCCTTCGGATAAAACTAAAAATAATGGACGATTGTCTCCGATAGAGGAAAAGTGTAACTTGGAACAACAGGTATAATAAAATTTTCTTTATACAGGGTGTCCGACAAATTAGTGTCTCGTAAAATCTCTCGTAAGCAGGTAGAAATAAAATTGAGTCGAAAAGTTCTGAACCATTTTTTCTATTACATATAATAAAGGAGTAATTATTGAATAAATCAAGCCATTCAGCACCGATCTTTAGCCGAACGCACGTCAGTGAACCACGCGCCTGGTGTGCGTGAGCGCTCCGCGCGGCTCATTGACATGCGTTCGGCTAAAGGTCGGCGCTGATTGGCTTGATTTATTCAATAATTACTTTTTTATTATATGTAATAGAAAAAGATGGTTCAGGACTTTTCGACTCAGTTTTATTTCTACCTGCCTACGAGAGATTTTACACTAATTGTTGGACACTCTGTATATATAATCGATATTAAAAAGTATAGATAAAGAATTCAAAAATTACTTGCAAAAGTTATTATAAAAAAAGATTTATTACTTTTTTATACATATAATTAATAATAATTAATAATCAATAATTGTTTATATTATATTGTATATTATTTAAAAAATTTTTTTAAATAAAGTTTTTGCAAATGATTTTTGAATGCGTTATTTACACATTTTTATGTTGTTTTATATCTTTAATGTGTTATAGTATATAGATCTTGAAGAAGAACTTAAGAAATGGAAAATAAAGACTGACGAAGAAATTTCTCAGAAAAATACAGAGATTTGTGATTTGCACGAAAAATTAAAAGCGATAATCCATCCGGAAACAAGTGACTCCTACGTACAAGTTCCAGACGAAATGTTTATACCAATATTGTCAGATTCGTCGCATTGCAAGTCTCCCAGCTCTTCTAATATTCTATCGTCTAACGAACCGTTTGTAAATCAAACGTATCTTACCTCGATGAGATTTCCATTGTCTAACGATCCTAATAGGCTGTTAAAACAAGAAGACTGTGACGACGATCATAACTTATATGATACTCACATTGAATGTTCAATGAAAGGAAAGAGAGATATGAACAAAGAACAGAAAATGCAAGTATATCAATATAGTTCACACATAGATGTCAAAACTATGTCAAAAATGAGAAAGAAAGATAATTGTCAGTCAGAATTCAAAATGATACATAATGTAACGAAAGAAACCACTTGTCCGTACGTGCCGAGTGATGCCGATTTGAATGCAAGCTTGAAAATGAAGCTTTATTTACAAGAACGCAAAACGCGGCATTTGCAGCATCGTGTTAAGCAACAACGGCAATATGTTGAAAAATTATTGCAACGTAAGTGTGTGTCGATTCTATTATATTTATTTTATAATTGTTTAGATTCCTGAAACTGTCAAGATATCGAAATTGTTATGCGTGACCTGTTGTGTTTATACAGGTATTATTGCGCAACATCAAGCAGAAGTAGGCGAATTACAGTGTCTTCTCCGTCATACTCAGAAAAGGCTTCAAATGCAAGTTGAAACAACCGTTGATCAGGTATGTTTGCAATTTTATATTATTTTTATATAATTAATTAATACAAGTAAAACATACATATTATATAAACTTAAAAAATAAACTTTCTATTTCCATTTCTGTTTCGTGTTATGATTTAGGCTGATAGATTGGCTAATGCCGACATGCTGGTGAAGGATTTATACATCGAAAATGCATGTTTAACGGCACATATGCAGCGCTTACAAGAACAGTGTCTTGTCTTAACCGGCCTCGATGTGGGAACTACCGCTTCGATGTGATGTTTATATAGACGTTATGATTATTATGTTAAATTAACACATTGTATGATTAATTTCGCGTTATTTATTTTGTTAGATAAGATTAGTAAGGATACGCAAGTAATATCGCAAACTCGCGGTATAACTCAGGGATGTGTGAAAAGATGTATATTGCATTACAAGTGCCTTTATTATATTTCTTCAATATATCTTCAATATATTAAAAGAATTATTGTTATTTCATAGTTATTATAATAAACGATGTAAAAATATATATATATAAATTATCGAAATCTGTGTGTTTTATTTTCTTGCATTATTCGAGATTATTTTTCACAACTTGAGAAATCTGAATTCTCTTGAACGGTTTTAGTGGAATTGACCAGTCGCGTTCGAGCAATCGATCGATACGATTGGGTCCGAGTTCTAGTGACTGTCTTTGGACCGTTTATCCAGCGCGAAATATAAATTGAAATGCGTCGTGCTACTCTCTATACTGATTATATATACTGTGACGAAATTTAAAGAAAGTACCGAGAGTGCAGTTCTGTGAGATCAAAAAAAAAAAAAAAAAAAAAATCACGAAAGAACAGATCTAATAACAATTCTACGATACGAATCGTGAACAATTGTTACAACACCATATCAATTATATATCTTGTAAATTTATGTTATAACATTTAAAAACCAGAGATAAATAAGCGTATATACGAGTATATTAGAAATGAAAAGAGTGTCTGGCGAAGAGAGCATACGAGAGAAACCGCCCAGGACTGCAACCCAGCGTCGTGCTGCCGCGCAGCAATGTACCAACAAACTAAATAATCGACGTCAAAAGCTGTCAAATATGGCGAAGGGCAGCGAGAGAGAGAGAGCGGTAATTGACATGTGAAAATGTGAATAGGCCTGCTGCTGTGAGTTCGCACCGTCATTTGCGCTTCTTGAGGGTGGGTGTATATTGAACACTCGCGGTGTCTTCGCGCGGATCCGAGTAGGCGGACGACGAGATCGCGATGTCAGACCCGTTGTGCCGGTGTCCGAGTGCCGGAAGTGAAGGAAGTGTGTGTTGAGGTCGGCGAAGAGAGTGAGCGAGCATATCGGGTGCCTTCACCGCAGTCGGGGGTTGGCACGGTGAAGAGGGCATGGTAAAGTGATCGGTGGACAGCACCATGGGCGCCCAACAAACCAAGGACAGGGTGATCTCTACCGGATCCACCGTGCGACAGACTCGCAAACAGACGAGGAACCTCAAAGACTCACGCGTTATAGGCTCTAACATATTCACCGAGCACAGCGGTGAGAATATTTTATATTGGCTATACTTCGACGTAAAAAAATTGCTTGTCCGTGTCTTACAAACTTTTCTGTCGATTAAGAGTAAAAATTTACATATTGAATAATGTATGTTCTTAAAGTATTTTTATACTTTTATAGGTTCAAAGGTGAAAAACATGCTCTTTCCTTTTTATGTATTTAATGTGCTTAACATGCTTTCCAGATTTCTGTATAGTTTGTGGTAATATTTAGACTAATATTTAGACTAATACATAATAACACATGCACACATACACACAGTGATATTTGAAAATAATTTTGTTTAATGATAGAATAAAGATTATATAATTATATTATAAAAAAATTAGAAAATCTTATCTATAAGAGGAAAACAATTCCAAACAGATATATCTCTAAATTTGATGTTGTAAATGAGTTTTAACATGACTTGTGTTGGAGATATTATATCTCTGGTATTTTTTTTTATCATAGTTGGAAACTATTTTTATATATTTATCATGTTATATAAGTAGAGCTCTATTTTGATAGTCAGCATAAAAAAAATATTTGTTTTTATTACATGTTAAAAATTATAAAGGAAACTTTTGCAATATTTGTTTATAGAGGCTCTGTTGCAAAGCAGACCCCTACCTCACATTCCAGCATTGCCAGAAGGTGATCCTCCAAGTGGTTCTAGTGTTCAATCAATTTCACAGCAAACAAACGTTCAACACTCTAGTGTTTCTAGTGGACTTCTTGAAGCAGCAAATAGGTCAGTTTTAATAATTAGAGTCAAAAATATATATGTATTATATATATATATATATGTATTTATTATACATGTATGTATTATACTTACATATAAATTATTGTTATAAATTTTTTTTTAAGAAAACTTTCTAAATTTGTGTATAGATTATTCGTTTTTATATAATATATATATATATATAATTTTTGTATAATGTAAATAAAAGTTATGTTAATTTGATGTGTGTATAAATTTTTACAAAAAATAAAAAATTTATTTTTTAACTCTTAGACTACAGAAATAGGATTTATAATCATTTTTTTTTATGTGTAGATGGACAAGCAAAGAAAATCTGTTGTCACAAGAAGAGGATGATCCTCAATTATTTGTTGCCTTGTATGATTTTCAAGCTGGTGGAGAGAATCAACTTAGTCTCAAAAAGGGTATTGACTTCTCAACATGAAACTGTAATGTTTCATTAAAGTTACAGATGCTTTCATGATAGACGATTATATGTTTTGTATGAATTCTTCAAATATTATTTTTTAATATTTCTTAACAGGTGAACAGGTACGTATCTTAAGTTACAACAAAAGTGGAGAATGGTGCGAGGCCCATTCAAGTACTGGGCAAGTAGGGTGGGTACCATCAAATTACGTGACTCCTGTGAACTCTCTGGAAAAACATTCTTGGTATCACGGAAGAATATCACGAAATGCTGCCGAATATCTATTAAGTTCGGGAATAAATGGTAGCTTTCTTGTGCGAGAATCAGAAAGCAGTCCGGGACAGCGCAGTATTTCTTTGAGATATGAAGGTCGAGTGTATCACTATAGAATCAACGAAGACAGCGAAGGCAAGATGTTTGTGACAACGGAAAGCAAGTTCAACACGCTGGCTGAGCTAGTACATCATCATTCAATGCTCGCAGACGGCCTTATCACGCAATTGTTGTATCCCGCGCCAAAACACAATAAACCTACTGTTTTTCCACTGAGCCCGGAGCCGGATGAATGGGAAATCAATAGAACGGATATAGTAATGAGGCATAAACTAGGAGGCGGCCAATATGGCGACGTATATGAAGCAGTCTGGAAGAGATACAATATGACTGTAGCGGTTAAAACATTAAAAGAGGACACGATGGCACTCAAAGATTTTCTAGAAGAGGCGGCCATTATGAAAGAGATGAAACACAGAAACTTGGTGCAATTGCTGGGAGTTTGCACTCGCGAACCACCTTTCTACATTATCACAGAATTCATGAGCAAGGGTAATCTCCTGGATTATTTACGAACCGAAAGCAAACAACAGAACAATGCTGTTGTTTTGATGCACATGGCTACACAAATTGCGAGTGGCATGAGTTACTTAGAAAGCAGAAGTTTTATTCATCGTGACTTGGCGGCTAGAAATTGTCTGGTCGGTGAAAATCATCTCGTCAAAGTTGCAGATTTTGGTTTGGCTCGTCTCATGAGAGATGATACGTACACAGCTCATGCTGGCGCGAAATTCCCCATAAAATGGACTGCACCCGAGGGTTTAGCATACAATACATTTTCAACAAAGGTAGTATAATTGTTCAAGTATTTCATTAATTGTCATGTTATCAAGTTATAAATATTAATTAATGATCTTTTATATAGTCTGATGTATGGGCGTTTGGCATTTTACTATGGGAAATCGCTACTTACGGTATGTCTCCGTATCCGGGTGTCGATTTGACGGACGTTTATCACATGTTAGAAAAAGGTTATCGAATGGATTGTCCACAAGGTTGCCCGCCAAAAGTTTATGAACTAATGCGTCAGTGCTGGCAATGGTCAGCGGCAGATCGACCTACTTTCAAAGAAATACACCATTCGTTAGAAAATATGTTTCAAGAATCAAGCATCACTGAAGGTATAATTGACTCAATCTGTATGATTGATTCCATTTTGTAGAAAACAGATTCTTATTTTATTCGACGCATATATTTATTACAGAGGTAGAGAAACAACTTCAAGTTGGAGGAGAAGTTCCATTACTGCCATATAAAAAATCGCAAACTGGAAGTACAGGAAACATTCATGGTCTTGTATCTGAGCAATTATCTTCTTCGAGTATAACACAAGGTAATATATATATATACTTACTGTTATAATATCTCAGTTATAGTATCAGTGAACCAGTTGTGTGATACGGTGTCTTAATGTCGAAATAGAAAAAAATATCTAAATACATATATGTATATATAAATATATATGTATGTGTACATGTAATAAAATAAACAGATATTTATGGATTTTATATTTTTGTTGTAAACTTATTTATTACATTATATATCATAACGGAGAAAATATCTTATGTTAGAAGGAGCCAGTTCGATTACCAAGCTGAGTACCTTTATGGGCGGGTTATCAAACAGAAGTAATAGCAATATGGTTCAGATGCGAAGATCTACCAATAAAAAAGGGAAACAAGCACCTGCGCCTCCTAAACGAACAAGGTATGCTATATTTTCGTTAATACATGCTGTGTAGTTGTGTATGTTGTAATATAATAGTGCGTCTTTTGTGACAGCCTACTGTCATCCTGCAGTTCTTTTCGAGATTCCGCTTATCAAGAGCAAGATCAACAAAATGTCGAAGTGAGCACTATGACGCTTGACGATGGCGCAGATCTAAATGGTATTGATAAAATTTTTGAAGGTATTCCATTATATATAAAACTACGTGTAATGAGACAAATGCACGAATGCAGCTTATGTTTGATTTTTTTTCAATTAACTCTTTCAGTTTTAACTTTTAATTTTGATATGCATCTTTGCCTACAGTGATTTACGGCTTCATGAATGTGGGTCATTCTCCTCAAGTCAGTATGTATACTTGAATGTTGAATACATGTCGCGCGAGTATTTCATGATTTCCGACAATTATAGTTACTTGGATATGTACACACATATGTATCTCTATATGTATATATATACATGTGTGTGTGTGTGTGTGTACACAGGGTGTCCCGTAATTGCCGTCTCACCGCTTGTAGGCAAGTAGAAGAAGTTATTCTAAGACAAAAAGTCCTATACCACTTTGGAAGATTCGCAATAATTAACCGAAATATTAATTAATAAAGATCCGCTAATCAGCGTGCATCCAGTGTAAGGACAGCCCAGTCTGTCGCGTCGTAGCGACGAAATACAATAGCGCGGATAGCGCGCTACCCGAACGCAGCCTACATGCTGTCTATGTATGCACATGTTATTCTATTAGTTCCTCCCATTCCGTCGCTACGACGCGACAGACTGGGCTGTCCTTACGCTGGATGCACGCTGATTAGCGGATCTTAATTAATATTTCGTTAATTATTGCGAATTTTCCAAAGTGGTAGGACTTTTCGTCTTAGAATAACCCCGTCTACCTGCCTACAAGCGGTGAGACGACAATTATGGGACACCCTGTATATATACAGGGTGTCCCAGAATTGGTGTAACATCTCTCGTAAACAAATAGAAGGAGTAAAACTGAGTCAAAAAGTTTTATGCCATTTTGCCAGATTCGCAATAGTTACCGAGATCTTAATTAACAAAGATCAGCGAATAAGCATGCATCGGGCTGTCTTACGCACGTAGATGCGCTTCGCGCGCTTACGGTGTTACCCGTAGCTACATATGGGAGGAGCTAATATAACAGCATATACTATAACATATACATATTAAAATGTAATCGTGCGAAGCGCGCTGAGCTGTCCTACGCGCGTAAGACAACCCGATGCACGCTTATTCGCAGATCTTTGTTAATTAAGATCTCGGTAACTATTGCGAATCTAGCAAAATAGTATAAGACTTATCGACTCAGTTTTACTTCTTCTACCTGTCTACGAGAGATGTTACACCAATTCTGGGACACCCTGTATATATATATATATATGTATATATATATATATGTACACATACGTATCATTTCTTAATTCATACTCGAGCGTCTGCATCTTGTACATACTGTACATTGTAGCTCTGATTTTTCGTTTCCACTTATCGAATAGAAGACAGTACCATTATGTATAACGAACCTTACAGGTTCTATATATATACTTATGCATGATAGTTTTTTTTTTTTTACAAAAGTACGAGTAGAACATGTTTTGTTTTAGATTTTTAGATATGTATCTTATTTTCGATTTATTATTTACAAATATATTCTTGTATCAAAATTGGTACTTTGTCTATGTCACAACATTGGTTATTATTTCATTACATCATATAAAATTTTAACTGTGTTCAAGCAGTGTTACGTGAGTTTACTAAATTAGCATTTGTACATACATATACACATACATGTATAAAATACTTATATGTATGTATGTATATGTATGTATCTATATCACAATAATAAATCATTCAAAAAACTATCACACATTATATATGCCATTTGTCATTTTTACTGATTATTTGTTGTTGACAAGTTGTAATACTTTTCTAATGACAAGATACACACAATCATTAAAATTCGACAATCTGCTAGATTAATTTTCGATTAAAGGAGAATGACCCTGGGATAAATGAAGTAAAATATGTCGAAAAAAGCAGAAATTAAAAGATTGATAAACATCACAAATGTGTTCTTTCCTCGAAAACTTTCAATCTCTATCAGACATTGCGCTTATATACTGGAGAGAAATATGTTAGCTGTAGATTATTATACAGTACATCCTTATTAAATGGCGACTCAGGTATCACACGTGATCTCGTGACAATGGCTACACAGTCAATTACTACAGGAGGTTGCGATATGGACGACGACGGAGATGGGTCACAAGGGACAGCAGAACATAACTTTGTTCCTCAACCGTCAACCTCGCCGGAACCTGTATCCAACTTACCATGCAATCAGAAACAAATTAAATCTCGACTTTACACGTCTAAGGAGGTACTGCCTCAGAAGGTACAATGATCTTACGTTGAGCGGCCACAATTTTCAAAATATATATATGTATATATATCTTAAACACATAAACATATTTTTTACCCGTATTAAACGATGTTAAATATTGAACCGGAAAATCATATTTCTATATACCATTTGAAAATATGCCTCACAGAGTAAAGTTTTTGTTTTGATGGTAAATGCATTTAGCACTGCTTGAATAACTTGCAACTTGATCAATTAGAAAGAGCGACTTACAATTTAGAGGAAAAATACATTTCAGCTAGTACACGTGGGTGCACTGGAAGTGCAAAATGTTAAAAGAGCTATCAACCGTTATGGTACCTTGCCGAAGGGTGCCAGAATTGGAGCATATTTGGAATCTCTACGACAAAGTGGCATGTCATCGAACCAAGAGAATGTTCCAGCTACTACGTCCTCTTTGTCGACTGCAATCATCGAACAGCAGCAAGACGTTGTTGTTGCGAGTGTTATCGACGCGATCCCGCAACATCGTTCCCTTTCGCCACGTCAAAATAATCTGCGTGCTCAGCCGCAGATGACACGAAGCAACTCTTCTAGCGGAGTGGTGAATACTTATCAACCACCAAATTCGCCACGCAGCCGCGTTGCTATACGAAAGACGAACGTGGAAGGAATCGGTCTGCGAACTTTTCGCGTGCCAAACAGCTCGAGCTTTCGCACCGCTAGTCCATCAAGGTCAATCCAACCGACTTTGGCTGATCTGGAGTTTCCACCGCCACCAGTAGATTTGCCTCCGCCACCAGATGAAACCTTCAGCGATCAGTGCGATCTACCACCGCCTACGGCTACAGCATCGCCTTGTACCGAGACCTCGTCCTCTCATGCAAAAATCACGAATTCACCAGTTAGCCTCAGAAAGATGAAAGCTGAGTGGCGGAGCAAGGAAGAAACGAGCGATCACGATCAAGATGATAGAAACAACGATGTGAGGAACGCGGAACCTTCAGTAAAGGAGGCCAGTTCGCGATTTGGTGTGAGTTTACGACGCCGAGAAACTACTACTGCTTTTACTTCTACATCTAGCGATGCTTACTGTAGTAGCATCAGTAAGTCTGTGGACGAAAAGAAGTTAGTTTACAAACCAAAGGAGACGACAAGCAGCAACGCGATGAAAACAGAACTGACGGATGCGCCGATTGCGGCATTTGAAGAAGCGCCACCGCCACCACCGCCGTTGCCCCCGCTTGTTGGTGGCAGCACTCCTGTAAGCAATATCAGTACCATCGATACTTTTGAATCCAAACCCGGTATGAAAGAGATGTTGGAGCTCAAACTTATCAACGAAATTAAACAAAGCGCGGATATGAAGCACGGTGGTAGCGCAAAAAAAATTAACAACACTACGAACAGCAACGCGATTTCATCAACAGTACCCCTCGATCCGGCGTCGCAATTATTGTCCGAATTGTGTGCAAGCTTTAGCATGGATTCCTCTAGCAAGCAACAGCATACTGTTTCAAACGAATACGCTATCTCGACATTGAAGAACACTGATGCATCTAGCGTTCAGGAACACGTTCAATCGAATACGCAAAGTGCGTTGTCTGAAAAGAGCAGCAGTTACAAGGAAATTCCGATGACTTCGCCAATCACAGAGGGTCACGTGCTAAGCGCCACCAGCGTAGGTTTCAAATTAAAGAAAGTGGATAAGCGGAGCAATGTGCAAAAAGAAGATAACACTGACGGACAGATAATCGATTTCAAGGCCCGGTTGCGGAAAGTGGACAATGTAGACAAAGAAAAGACAGAAGAAAGGTGCAAGTCGTCGCGTTTTGATGACAGCGCGGGGAGTAACATCTCGGACTCTGTGGATTCGTCGTCTGGTGTGGACGACGCGAATGACGACAAACGCCGCAGCACCGGCAGTATTAGCAGCCTAAAGAAATTGTGGGAGAACAAAGAGGCTTCTTGTGATAACCAACCACTTAGTCCTAAATTAAACGTGAGAGGAACAAGCAGCAAACAGGATGTTGGTGATGCTGCAAGCGAGGACTCACCGGAGGATCACAGTGGCGCCTCGACTAGAAGCTCGACTAGCAAGGGTGATTCGCGGGTATGGCCTCCTACATCCTTGGTGACTTCCGAAATAGAAAAGCCAATCGTACCGGCTAAACCTCTGAAGCCACTGGGACCTTCCAGCAAGCATTTCGGCTCTTCGATATATGCCACACCAAACTGCAATAAGTCTCTGTCACAGACTGATGATGACGGCAGCAGCAAGCAAACTAGCAGCGTTGGCGGCGACTCAAAAGGAACAAAGCATAGTGTGATTGAAATCTCGAACGTCATTGAGAATAGTATTTCGAACTTGAAAGGTAGTCCCACCATCGTCATGGCCAGCTGGTTGCAACTATCTGATAAGGTTGGCCTGTTGCACGGTATGTGTGTTAATTTGACAGATACGGCGATCGCGCCACATGCGAGGTTTCAATTCCGAGATCTGCTCACGAGACTCGAACTGCAGGCGAGGCAGCTGCGAGCCGCTGGTACGCGCAACATTACCGAAAATACGAGACTCTTATGTGACGTGCAAAACACAATAAAAGACGTGATAAACACGGTGCAGAGATAAAGTTCTAAGCACGTAAACCGACGGATTTTAAAAATCAAAACGAAGCATCTATCCTTGCGAGAATTTTCTCTCGCATGTCCCTTCGTGATATTTTTCATTAAATCGCAAAACTCATTGCTATTTCATTTCTTTTCCTGTGTCTCCCTCTCTATTTTGTTGAATCCGTAGGCGTAGAGAGAGAAGTATATAAATCTATATAAAAATCTATGTGTATGTATACATATATATTTATATATGTACATATATATATATATGTGTATATGTACACATACACACTTATACATATATACGCATATATATCTAAGTCATTAGTAAGGTCTCATCGAGGAATGAAATCTTTTGGAAATTTAAACGATTAATCTTCGTGCGTGAGTAAGAGTGACACTAGTGTGAATAAGTTCTTACTATAATATGGTTCCGCAAATGCATGACTGGTTCTACGAGATTAATCCAAAGTTGCATGAATCGAACAATTGCTGGTACGCTTCAAACATATAGAAGAACACATGTATACACCTTGGACAGAATTCTGTATACAACTCTATATGTGTATCGTGTACATTCATATACATTTATATTTTGTTTGTTGTACTACTCACATATTTCTTCAGAAGATCTTACCTTCTTTCTGTCGAGATTGCATAAAAATTGCGTGCAAATCACGGGCCTGACAGAAACACGGCCTTAAAACGAAGAAACAAAAAATTGATGAAATTTCTTATGTTGAAACGTACGACAATTTTTTCATATTTATGATATTAAATGTGGTGATTATAAGTGTTATCACGCGAAGTATCAGGAGTATGTGATGAGAATAATTGGCAATGAGTGGTATATAGCAGAAAATGTTGATGCAAGAAATTGTCGCGAGTTATATTCTTGCAATTGATGCAAGAATTGACTAACTATATCGTCGAAGTGCTTACCCCATAAAATCGTTTTGTTTTACACATGTAATTTTATACATACTTCGTGCTTAGTATATACAAACATTGTACGCGAGATTTTTTTAGATTATTATACATATATATATATATATACATATAAATACGAACACGTAAAGGGTAAATTGTTTCATGTATACTGGGACAATATAAACGATTTTGTATTTGTATAGAGTAAGTTGGATATGAAACAACTATATATATTAT